TTGAATTCAGGAATACTTGTTAGGATTGCTAATATCTTGTCGGTTGAAACATTTCAATACGAAATAAAGACATCACAAAACAGTACTCATGAATACTTATTTATATCACCACCATCATACATATTGAGGTATTAACAACTAGGCACTGTTCCAGACAGCCTAATGATGAAAATAAAATTGAACTATTATAATAATTATATTGACCATGGAAAAATGTATTTAAATCCTAAATGGTACAAATTGAGGGTGGACTGCACCAGTTATGTGAAGAATGAGTCAAAATCGCAAAAGTGATTACTGTAAAAAGTAGAAAGTAGATAGAGTCATAACAAATAAGCGTGGGGTAGCAATTAATATGCAACTTCACAGCACCTAACAGAATTACAAAAGATCGAGTTACCAATGGAGACTTAAAAAAATCTCTCAAAGATTAAAACATGCGAGATGAACTACCATTGGAGTAAGATTTCAGAAAATCAAAGATCAAGTGGAGTATAATCAAAGTGTCTGCACACACTCCTATCGAGCCATTTTAGTTGGTCTTTTGCAAACAGAGAGGTCACAGCATCTGCAATACATAATACAGCGTAACACCTTTGGGAAGCCCAAGGAAATTCTCAACTTTTGTTTGTAAGAATAGAAAATCCAGAAATACACAGTCAGTGAAGCTGTGGAAAAAGTCAAGTCTGTAGTTAACCATTTAGGACTTTAATTTGGAATTAAAGATATTAAATAGTGAGCAAGACATTTCACCCACACTTGACAGAAACAAAATGGCTGTATACATTTCTTTGCCTGTCGTTTTGTTCGATCCAGGGAGAGTAGAGGTTGAGGAAATCAACAGGATGAATACAACCCCATTTATTTTTGTTATGAACACTTCAGATATGAAGACAATAAGAAACACAAATGCCAAAAAATGCCTAGGTCTGAAAAACACTGCTGTTTAACCATCAAATAAATTTACACGTTAACAGAAAACCCAGTTTGTCCACGACTTAGCCAATATTTGTTTAGTCACAAAATTTACCCTAAGGCAGCTTGTCTGTTCAGCTCTATTAAGTACAAGACTCCACACTGAACGTTATTCATGCCACCCTGAAGGACTGTGCAGATTCTAATTAGTAAGCGTATAGAATGAATGGTAATCTGATCTGCCTTCTAATTGACCAACTTGACCATTATTAATTTGTGAACATCCTCCTGCTGCTGATCATTTAGCTCCTAAAAGCTGCTCTAGGAAAGGCATAAGGTATCGCACTGACCATCTGGAGAATAAAATGCAAACTGTATTTTACATCAGTGGAGGTCTTTGTTTTATTGAAAGGAATAAATTTAATTTGGTTCAAAGAACAAAATTATACTTTGAAGTTGCTGCATTGTTCAAAAATACTCATCAAGGAATCAAGATTATTAGGAACCTAAAATAAAAGCAAAATACCACGGCTGCTGGAAATATGAAGCAAATACACCAAGTGCTGGGCAAACTCGGGAAGTCCAGTAGCATCCACGCAAAAGAAACATTATCTTTGAGTATAATGTGACCTTTCTTCCAAGCTGAAGAGAGGAAGAAAGGTGAGAAAGGTGATGGTTTTATTCTGTTGAAAAAGGAGAACGATTCAGGCAGAACAAAAAGTAAGGTCAGGGATAAAATAGAGAAAGAAAGTTTAATTGACAAAGATGTAAGGTAACTCTATGAATCAGGAATGGTAATGATAGCTGAAAATAAAAACAAACATTGGTCTGGAGTAAGTGTTAATGGCAGATTAAGAACAGCTGTGTCTAAAAGCAAAACCAGAGAAAGCAGGGCACAGTTCCAAAGAAGAGTCATTAGACCCAAAACATCAACTCTGTTTCTCGCTCCACAGATGCTGCCAGACTTGCCGATTTTTTCTAACACTTTGTTATTAATAATAATAGAGACTAGCATTTTTTTTTGGGGGGAGGGGGATTCATAACAATAAAAGGCAGTGTTCACAGTATGGAGTTGTTGAATTGATTACTGAGTCCTGAAATCTGTAATGTGCCTAAGTGAAAAATGGGGTGCTATTTCTCAAACTTGTGTTGGGCTTCACCAGAACAGGGAGTGAGCAGAGAGCAATATGGCAAAATAAAACACCAAGCATAACATCAGGATCATGCTTGCAGACTGACTAGAGCTGTTCTGCAAAGCAGCCACCCAGTCTGCAATTGGTCGTCTCAATGTAGAAGAGTTCGCTGTGAGCAGCATACTAAATTCGAAGAATGTGAGTTGATTGCTGCTTTATCAGGAAAGATCATTTGTAGGCTTTGACGTTCTCTCTTCTCATTGTCAAAGAACCTTCTGTCGTCACATGCGAACGTGCCCTTTGAAGGGGATAAGATATTAGGGGGATGTAGGAGCACACCAGGGTGTCATGGAGGAAATCCAGTTTACTGCCCACTGCTCCTAAAGGTCTTAGATGATTTCATAGGATTGGATAATTACAATTACTGAACAATTTTCTTTCCAGAACAATTGTACTTTCATTGTAATTTTTTAACTCAAAAAAAAAATCGATACACCAATAAAAGATTCTTCTATCAAGGTTTAAAGCAGGAAAGGTAGAAAAATACAGCAGCAAGGATAAACACGTAACAATGAAAACAATTTGCCTCAAAAAGGAATGGTAATGACTAATAAAAGATGCTGAATTGCAAGAATACAGCATTCACAGATTAAAATCTCATCTTCAACTAGTTAGCAGCAAGTACATTTTACAGTGTTTCAGCCCCACGTATTTTGGATGGCTCCACATTGGCTTTTGTACATCTCGTTGTTCTTTTTACAGTGCACCTTGGATTCAAAATGCACATACACTAACTTTCTGTTCAAATTACTAACGTTCAGCCAAATTAATAGTGTGCAAACATTATTCATATCTGAATGTGAAATATGCATTCACATGTGCATCCTCTTTGCAAATATTATGCTGCACTTGGGGAAATGCAGCATAATTTTAACATTTACAGAAACATCATACAGTAGTTGGTTACAGTAAAAACAGAGGACTGAGACAAAAAAAAGGAAGATAACAGAATCAAAGAACTGGTACGGTATAGAAGGCCATTTAGCCCATTCTATCTGCAACGTCTTTCTCAGACTAATTTATCTAATGCCACTACTCTGCCTTCCGTCTACATCCTGCACGTCCTGATTTATCAAATAACAATCCAATTCCCTCTTGAAGGCTCATTTGAGCCTGCCTTCCCCACACTCTTGGGCAGTACATTTCAAACCTGAGCTGTTCACTGAGTGAAAAGGTGTTTGTTTCCCCTCAAATTGCCACAGCTTCTTTTGCTAATTACCTTAAATTTGTGCCCTCTTGTGCTCAATTCTTCCAATTGGAGCTATTTTCCTCCATCTATTTTGTGCAAACCCTTCAGTTTTAAATCCCTATGTCAAATCTCTTCTCCAAGAAAAAGAGGCCTAACTTCTCCAGTCCATTTATATAACTGAAGTTCATTGTCTTCAATGCCTGCAGATCACAACAACGTCTCTTCTTCCTCAGGTGGCTCAGGAAATATGGCATGTCCTGAAGGTCCCTCACCAACTTCTACAGATGCAACATTGAAAGCATACTGTACATAACAGCCTGGTATGGCAACTGCTTTGCCCAGGACCCTAAGAAACTACATAAGGTGGTATGCACACCCCAGACCATCACGGAAGCCAACCTTCCATTCACGGACTCTATTTACACAGCTCACTACTGCGGAAAGGCAGCCAACATCATCAAAGACCCATCGCACCCTGGTAATGACCCCGTATAACCTCTTCCATCAGGCAGAAGATACAGAAGCCTGAACATATGCACAAACAGGTTCAGAGACAGCTTCTTCCAGGCGTTATCAGATTATTGAATGGACTCTAGCCTCAAATAATGAACCTGCAATGTAGCCTGTATGTCTCCAAGTCTTTCTGACCTATACATCTTTTGCTTGCTGTGATCTGCCTGTACTGCTTGTAAACAGAGCTTTTCACTGTATTTCAGTACACATGACAATAAAATCAATCAATCCATCCTTCCTACAGTGTGGCATACAGAAATGGAATCAATACTTTAGTTGAGGCCAAACTAATGTTCTGGACAAGTTTAACATAAGTTACTCGCTTTTATACTTTATGCCTTTATTTGGTCAGCCATTAAGTAATGGCACGACAGACTTGAGGGAGTGAAAGGCCCACTCTTGCTCCTAAGTTATATGCTCATACTTGTATTTCTTGAGGACTAGATTTCTCTAGATAGAAACTTGAGAGAAGAAATGGAGACGATGCAAGATAAATGCAGAGAACATACTTCCATGAGAGAGAGAGTGTGTGTGTGTGGGTGGGGGTGTCAGAATTAGGGGCCACTAAAAAAGGCCATTAATAAATCAACAAGTCATGCCCAGCAAGACTTTATCCAAACAATGGTTAGAATCTGGAACTTGCTCCCACCTGGAGCCATTGAAGCAAACAAACGGTTTTAGGTGAGAGATAGGTAAGTACAGGGGAAAAAAAAAGAGAAGGATATGTTGGTGGAGTTTGATGAAAAGGTGAGATAAGGCTCACGTGCTATATAAGTACCACTGTGGATTTGTTGGGTCAAATAGCCTGCTTCAGTACTGTTAATACTGTACGATACAATGTAAGAAAAAAGTCACCTCTTCTGAAGCTGCGCAAAGGCATAGTATTTTTTGAAAACAGTTTAGAAACAGAGAGTCTTAGAATTTGATGCTGAATAGTTTGCAATAATTGGTCTGACTATTATGCCAAAATACTAAATTGAATTTTTTGTTGGCTAACTGAAATCAAATTTATTGAGGTCCAAATGTCTCAATAGATTTCAGAAGAAAAAAGAAATATGGAATATAAAATTGTATGCTTTTATCCTTCTTGCAGTAATTTGAGGCAAACTGCAAGTTAGTTACTTAAAACAATGAGATAATTACTTACACATTAAAATGCAACAATAGAGAAACACACAAAAGCTACTCACTCCAACAATTCATAATTGGATTTCTTTTCCAAGGCATTTCCCCGCATTTCCCTATAGAATCTCCTAAAAAAATATAAAAATTGTTTAAATTACAATCAAAAAGTGATCTGTTAATTAAACCATGAATCATTTGAATTCGTATTCTACAGAGAAAACTATTATGACAATAGGAAAAAAAATCTGAGCTTAAGAAAATGATTTACAAGAAATGTTGAACTCAGTTTTAACATCTGGGCAGACCGGCCAGAAAAGTGGACTGCAACGCAGAAGTTTGTGCATTTTCATTTAAGTCTGTCCTTGTATTATTTGCACTGACCAACTTAATGTTATCTGTCCAGAGCTAATGTTTCATAGATACTGATTTCGCTTATCCCTAGTAAGCTATTATATCCATCTTAGGGTCTTGAAATCCTTCTATTCTTTTCTCTTCCATATACCTGTACAGCTTCCTCCAAAATAAATTCATGCCATTCAACTCAATCACAGCCTGAAGCAACACATTTCATAAACTAACACAGATATGGAAGGAATAGACACAGTGATACAAGAATAATATGAAGAGGGTATCCAGTGATATGGAACAAAGACATGCAAGTGGAGCTGAGGTAAAGATCATTATTTTAATTTATTTTAATTTTTTGTTTTCTATTTTAATTTTAATAATTTAGTTTTTGGATAATCTGTACTTAAGATTTAGAGATTTATGAAGCACAAGATAATCTGCAATATTTGTGGACTATTTTTAAAACACAAAACATAGAACAGTACGGCACAAGAACAGGTTCTTCGGCCTACGATGTCGTGCCGAACATGATGCCAAACTAAACTAATCTTTTCTACCTGCCCATGGTTCACATCCCTGCATTCTTTGCTTATTCATGTGCCTATCTAAAAGTCTCTTAAATGCGCCTATCATATCTGCCTCCACCACTATCCATGGTGGTGTGTTCCAGGCACTTACCACTTTGTATAAAAAAAACTTGCCCCTCACGTTTCCTTTCAACTTTCTCCCCCTCACCTTAAATGCAGGCCCTCTAGTATTAGGCATTTTAACTCTGGAAAAAAGATTCTGACAGTCAATCCTATCTATGCCTCTCATAATTTCGTGGACTTCTATCAGGTCTCTCCTCAACCTCTGCTGCTCCAGAGAAAACAATCCTAGTTTGTCCAGCCTCTCCTGAAAGCTCGTACCCTCTAATCCAGACAGCATCCTTTCCAAAGCCTCCACATCCTAATGTGGCAGCCAGAATTAAACACGATAGTCTGAGTGTGGCCGAAGTTTTATAAAGCTGCAACATCACTTCCTCACTCTTGTACGCAATGCCCCAACCAAAAAAGGCAAGCATGCCTTTCTTACTACCCTATCTGCTTGTGTGGCCACTTTCAGGGAGCTATGGACTAGGACTCCAAAATCCCTCAATACATCAATGCTGTTCTGGGTCCTGCCATTAACTGTAAACTTTCCCTTAACATTTGATCTCCCAGAGTGCAGCACCTCACACTTGCCAAGATTAAACTCCATCTGCCACTTCTCCGCCCATATCTGCAACTGATTTATAACCTGCTGTATCATTTGACAACCTTTTATACCATCCACAACTCCCCTGATCTTTGTGTTGACTGCAAACTTACGATACCCATCTGTGTTTTAATCCAAGTCATTTATATAAATCACAGACAGCATACTCCCAGCACAGATCCCTGCACTAGTTACAGATCTCCAGCCAAAAAAAACTCTTCCACCACTACTCTCAGTCTTCTATGGACAAGCCAATTCTGAAACCAAATAGCTAAGTTACCATGGATCCCATGCATCTTAATCTTCTCAATAAGCCTACTGAGGGACATTGTCAAAAGCCTTACTAAAATCCATGTAAACAATATCCACAGCTCTACCCTCATCACCTCCTCAAAAAAAAATCAATCAATTTAGTAAGACATAACCTGCCACGCACAAAGCCATGCTGAATATCTTAATTAGGCTATGCTTTTTCAAATGAGTGTAAATCCTATCTGTAAGAATCCTCTTCAATAGCTTTCCAACCATCAATGTGAGACTCACCAATCTATAACTTCCTGGATTATCCCTATCTCCCTTCTTGAACAGAAGAACAACATTAGCTACTTGCCAATCCTCAGGGACTCTCCAGTGGCTAGTGATCTTGGTCAACGATCCAGCAATCTCCTCTCTTGCCTCTCTCAATGGTCTGGGATAGATGGTGTCAGGCCCTGGGGAATTATCCACCTTAATGCTCTTCAAGAGACCCAACAGCATTTCTTTCCTGAGCTCAAAATGCCCTAGCATATTAGCATGCTCCACACTAAGCTCACTATCTTCCATGTCCTTCTCAGTCATGAATACCGATGCAAAGTACTCATTGCGGATCTTGTCCATATCCTCTTCCTCCAAGCACAAGTTCTCTCCTTTACCCTTGAGTGGTCCTATCTACTTCCTAGTTATCCTTTTGCTTTTAAAGTGTGTATAAAATGCCTTGGGATTCTCTTTAACTTTACTTGCCAAGGACATTTCTTGGCTCCTTCTTGATTTCCTAATTCCCTGCTTGAGTTCTTTCCTGCTTTCTTTATATTTGTCACGGGTCCTATCCAATTTTAGCTTTCTAAACATTATATATGCTTCCTTTTTCTTTTTGACTAAATTCACAACTTCCCTTGTCATCAACAGGTCCCATACCTTGCTATCATTGTCCTTCCTCCTTACTGTAACATGCTCGCCTAAACTCTGATCAGTAGGCCTTTAAAACAACTCCCACATGTCAAATGTCGACTTGCCCTATAACAGCTGCTCCTACTTAAGTCTCCCTAGTTCCTGCCTAATACTGATGTAATTTGCCCTCCCCCAATTTGGTACACTTTTTCAACACAGAGTCTACTGTATTTAAATAAAGTATTAACACATAGATATACATGAGATCTCTTAAGGAAAAGATCTTTGAGAGATGTCCAAATTCAGGGGCTATGAATACCAAATAGTTAATAGTGGATCCAATAGGGAAGTCAGAGAAACCTGAGTGGATTTCATAGAGCATTTCATAGGATCCCTACAGTGTGGAAACAGGCCCTTCGGCCCAACAAGTCCACAACGATCCACAGAGCATCCCACCCAGACCCATCCCCCTATAACCCACCTAATCTACACCTCCCTGAACACTACGGGCAATTTAGCATGGCCAATCCACCTAACCCGCACATCTTTGGACTGTGGGAGGAAATCGGAGCACCCGAAGGAAAGCCACGCAGACACGGGGAGAATGTGCAAACTCCACACAGACAGTCACCAGAGGCTGGAATCGAACCCGGGTCCCTGGCACTGTGAGGCAGCAGTGCTAAGTACTGTGCCACCGTGAGTTTACGAAGCTTGTTACCTCAGGCAGTGATTGATTGGAATGGCATGGATTCGTATGTGATCAAAGCCTCAACTGAACATCAGCAGGAAACTGAGAACAGTGTTGCTCAGCCTGTGAAAATGGCCTGGGTGCTGGTGGAATAAAAGGAAGAAAATGAGATTCATGGTGGGGGTTTACGAGAGTTAAACAGACTTGGGACTACCAACAGGTGGCATATGTTCCAAAGGATAACCACGCCATTTGAAAAATCCTGCTCTATCAATAGGTTCCCTATGTGGACAATAACCTCCAATTACCAATATACTATTGATAAGTTTATAGGAAGCTTCTGTACCCTTTTTTTTTTTAAAACTCATTTGAGGGACACGGTGCCACTGGCTGGGCCAGCAATCATTGCCCATCCCTAGTTGCCCTTGAAAAGTTTTTGGTGGGATGAACTGCCTTCTTGAACCACTGCAGATATGTGCAATGGAATTCCAGGTTTTTGACCCAGTGACACTGATCGAGTTGCAATATATATCTAAGTTAGGATGGTGAGTGGCTAGGAGGGAAACCTGGAAGTGCTGGTGTTCCCATCTATCAGCTGCCCTTGTCCTTCCAGATGACCGTAGTTGTGGATTTGGAAGGTGTTACTGAAGGAGATTTGGTGAATTTATGCAGTATATCCTGTAGATGGTACATACTTCTGCTACTTAAGTGCTGGTGGTAGAGGGAATGGATGTTAGCAGATGTGATGCCAATCAAGTGGTTGCTTTTTCCTGAATGGCCTCAAGCTTCTTGAGTTTGTTGGGTTTGGACTCACCCAGGCAAGTGGGGAGTATTCCCGAAGGTGGACAGCTTCGAGAAAGTCAGAAAATAAGTCACCCGCTGCAGTATTCCTAGCCTCTGACCTGTTCTTGTAGCCACTTCATTTATGGGTAGTCTAGTTGAATTTTAGGTCAATGGTACCCCTCAGGACGTTGATAGTGGGGAATTCAGTGATGGTAACACAATCGAATATCATTTGTTAACTGAAACTTGGATATTGTCCGGGTCTTCCTCTATTTTGACGTGGACTGTTTTAATATCTGAGGAGTTAAAAATTGTTGCGAATGCTTTGGGCTTATCTTTTTCACTGATGGCTTCCCCATCACTGAAGATGGGGATATTTATGGAACTTCCTCCTCCAGTAAGTCATTTATTTGTCCACCACCAGACTGCTGACAATGACAAATCCCTCCCTGACATGCTCAATGCTTTCTATGCTCAGTTTGAGCAGAATACCCCCGGCGTGGCGACACTTGCCCTGACAGGCCCAGACACACCTGTTCCCTCTGTCACCGGTTCAGACATCAGCTCAGTCTTCCTGGCAGTCAACTCAAGGAAAGCGATGGGCCCAGACGGAGTCCCCAAGCACAGCACTCAGATCCTGTGCAGACCAGCTAGTGGAGATATTCACTGACATCTTCAACCTCTCCCTCCTACAAACAGAAGTCCTCACTTGCTTCAAGAAGACCACCACCAACCCCGTACCCATGAATACACATGCAACGTGCCTTAATGACTACCACCTAGTAGCTCTGACTTCAATAGTCACGAAGTGCTTTGAGAGGCTGGATATGGCCCACATCAATTCCAGTCTCCCAACCTGCCTTGATCCCCTACAGTTTGCCTACCGACATAACAGATCCACAGAGGATGCCATATCCCTACCCCTGCACTCATCCCTGGAACATCTGGACAACCAAGACACCCACGTCAGACTCCTGCTCGTTGAAGGCAGAACTGTAGTCAACACTATTATCCCATCCAGACTGACCTCAAAACTGACAGACCTTGGTCTCAGCTCCGCCCTCTGCAACTAGATCCTCAGCTTCCTGACCCACAGGCTGCAATTAGTGAGGATAGGTAACTGCACCTCCTCCACAATAACACCCAACACTGGAGCCCCTCAAGGATGTGTCCTCAGCCCCCTACTGTATTCCCTGGACACCTATGACTGTGTTGCCAAATTCCAAATGAACACCATCTATCTATAAGTTTGCTGAGGACACCACCATAGTGGGAAGGATATCTAACAACGAGTGAAAGTACAGAAGGGAGATAGAGGGCTGGGTGATATGGTGCAATGAAAACAATCTCTCAATGTCGACTAAACTAAAGGACGATCATCAACATCAGAAAGAAAGGAGGAGAACACGCCCCCATCTACATCAATGGAACTGAGGCTGAGAAAGTGAAGAGCATTTAGTTCCTTGGAGTGATGATAACAGACGACCTGTCCTGGGCTTCCCATGTAAATGCAACAGTCAAGAAGGCACAACAACGCCATTCTTCCTCAAGTGGCTCAGGAAATTTGGCATGTCCTAAAGGTCCTTCAACAATTTCCACAGATGCACTATTGAAAGCTTACTGTACAGGTGCATAATGGCCTGGTGTGGTAACTACACTGCCCAAGACCGTAAGAAACTACAGAAGGTGGTGTGCACAGCCCAGACCATCAAAGAAGCCAAGCTTCCATCCATGTTCTCTATTTACATGGCTCACTACCAACGGAAAGGTGGTCAACATCATCAAAGACCCATCGCACCCTGGTAATGACCTCCTACAACCTCTTCCGTCAGGCAGAAGGAACAGAAACCTGAACATATGCACTAGGAACAGTTTCTTTCCGGGCATTATCAGACTGTTGAATGGACTCTAGCCTCAAATAATGTAACATGTAATGTAACCTGTATGCCTCTAAGTTTTTTGACCTGTACATCCTTTGCTTGCTGTGATCTGCCTATACCACTCGTAAGTAAAGCTTTTCACTATATTTTGGCACCCATGACAATAAAATCAATCAAACCTGCATGAGTGTATGCAGTAGGACTGCAAAACTTAGATCTGATCTCTTGGTTATGGGATCCCTTGGTTCTGTCTATAACTTGTTACTAATGCTGTTTGGCATACTAGCAGTCCTGCTTTATAGTTTCACCAGATCAACACCTTATTTTTGGTATGCCTGGTGCTACTCCTGGCACGCTCTTCTGCGCTCTCCATTGGACCAGGATTGATCCGTTGGCTTGAAGACAATGTTAGAGTGGGGGATATCCCAGGCCATCAGTTTGGAGAATGATTCTGCTGCTAAGGGCCCACAGCGCCTCATGGATGCCCAGACTTGAGTTGTCAGATCTATTCGAAGTCTGTCCATTTAGCATGGTGATTGAGAATACATTGTGATGTGTGGCATAATGTAAATGCAGGACTTCATCACCACTGTGATTGCTTGGTGGTCACTCTTACTGATACTGTCAAGGACAGATGCATCTGCAATGGCAGAATGGCATAAAATGAGGCCAAGTATGTTTTTTCTTCTTGTTGTTTCCCTCAGCATAGATCATAGGGATTAGAGATCATAGATCATAGATCGTAGGGATTCCCTCACAGATATAGTGATTCTAAGATCTATGATCAGCACCTACCACAGGCCCAGCTGAGCAGTTATGCCCTTTAGGCCTCACCTAGAGTATATTCTGAGTCCTTGCCACCCTCATTGCTTCCCTCACATGGTGTTCAACATGGAGGAATGCTAATTCATCAGTCAAAAGGGTGTCAGGGATAAAATGTAGTAAACTGCAGAAGGTTTGGACAAGTTGACTGAGTGGGCAAATGTATGGCAGACGAAGCGCATTGTGGATAAATGTGAGATTATCCACTTTGGTGGCAAAAAACAAGAGGGTAGAAAATTATTTAATGGCGATAGGAGAAGGGGGAGACTTGAGTGTCTTTTCCACCAGTGGCTGAAAGTGAGCATGCCGGTGCAACAGGTAGTGAAGATGGCAAATGGAATGTTAGCCTTCATGTAGAGTGGATTTGAGTACAGGAGCAGGGATGTCTCGCTGCAACTGGGTCTTGATAGAAATCACATATGGAGTACTGTGTGCAGTACTTATTAGAAACTAGAATAACAAGTGATCCCATTGAAACATAGGATCCTGAGAACATTTGACAGGGTAAATGCTGATAGGATATTTTCCAAGTGGTATTTAGAACTGGAAATGTAGTTTAAAATTAAGGCTGAGATGAGGAGGACATTTTTCATTTTAGAGTCATTAGACTGGGGAATTAACATTCCCAGAAATCACTGGAGGCTGGGTCATTGAATACATCTTTATTTGATTGACAAGCAAGTGAAGGGCTATGGGAATCAGGGAAGAAAGCAAAATTAAGGCTACAATCAGAGCAGCCATGATCTTGCTGAATGATAAAAGAGGCACAAGGGACTGAATAGCCTCCTCCTACTGTTTCTTATGATCTTATTATGAAAAAGGTACAAACTCAAAATGTCCCAAGTTGTAAATTCAGAACAGCTAGATCAGCAGAGGCCCGAATTACTCGTCTAATCACTTTTTCTTTTCTTCATGATTCTGAACTTAGTTATTTACTGCTTAACGCCAAGCCTCAGGTGCTTTCCATTAAACAATGAACCGTAACTAATTAGTGCTAACCAATATTGCAAGCGATTGACTAATCCCAGCTAGAGCTTCAAACAAGGAGCAAAAGGGACAAAACAGTCATTTTAACTGGTTCATGTACTGACTAGCCTTTAGTTTAATACCTAATTAGATTTTTGCATACCTGAATTTACCAAGCAGAAAAACTTTCAAATGTATTAACATTGGTAAAGTTGCTACAATAGACTTACCTGATCTCAAGGCATCCCAGCTTCAGTGCAATATCCTGGTCCACTTGATCTGCTATGTCCATCATGTAATCATTCTTAACCTGAACATGAAAATACATTCAATAAGAGTAAATACTCAAGCTATGATTTTTGAATTGCCCTGTAGATTAACCATATATGTAATGGCATGACTATCTTGGATACCTAGAGATTCAAAACTAATATATATTAAGGTATGAATACCAAACATACCTAATGTGTGCAATCATACTTACACAGTCAATTTCAAATGGCAAAGTATTACTCAGATTTCCACACAATGTGCAATTCTCAGATATTTTCAGTTACAATTTCTTAGGGAATACCTAATAAGCAAAGCAGTGACTAATTGTTTCTTTGCTGAAATTAGTTATGAAAGCTTGACATATTTTTCAATTCCTTTTACGACATATTGCTGCAGAGCTTCTTCAGTAATCAACAGAATGACAATAATCAATTTAATCCAAGGTCTGTAGATGATGTTATACATCATCGCTTGACAGCTCAGATCCCAAAAGCCCCATGGGACCAGATCTTTCATCATCCCAAGGTGATGGCCACACTGCTGATGCAGGGATGAAGGAAGAACACCCAATTTGTCTTGGCTGAAGGGTACAGCTACAGACCTGCTAGCTGTATTCAGCCAGAAATGTCAAGTACCACAGACTAGATGGGCCAAAGGGCCTCTTCTGTGCTCTGTGACTCTAAATCATCAGAATGAAATGCAATACAAATCACAAAGAAAACTTGTCAAAAGGAATGCTGGCAATTTTTGGCAAATGATTGACCTTATGGATATTTCAAAGAAAAAAAATATTCTCTGCTCACTTTAATCAATGGAAATACGCACTAGTTAAAATGGTTATTATTGCACGTTTTTGAACTTCGAATGCGTTCAATAGGCATGTGATTGCTTTTTGTGGTCCAATTATTTATTTGTAATACAAATACTGCAAGTTATCTAACTTAGCCCCCATTATGTGCACAAATATTTAAATATCAATTATTTATCGTTCCCCAGTTGCATATAAGTAGGAGATATTTCATGCATCCAGAAAAATTGAACATCAAAAATGTTAAATATGTTAACGTAACTGTTTTGAAAGCTTTCATGTACAATGCAATTTAAATGATCATAACATGCAAGAGTATGACATACAGTGTTTCATACTGTGTTAAGCTGCTGTAACAAACTGACTTACTGGCTCAACAACTAGGACGTTAGCATATATAAAGATAAGCTTTGTTTTGTGAGCAAAATTGTAAAACTTGTTTGAAGGGAAGTTCCATACTTAATGAACTTTACTCAATTCCCATATCCTGTTATTCCCTTAGAAACCAATCGGCTCGAATTTAGTCAATGAGTAACCAGCTAAACGTCTCTAGGATGGAAAATTTCAAAGAAGCACAATCCTTTGAGTTAAGAAGTTTCTCTTCAGTTCGGTCTGAAATGGTCATCTACTAATCCTGATGAACACTCATTCCAACCTTTACAGAAATCAAAAGTCTTAAAATTGCAACTCCCTTTTGTAGGCCAACTCCCTTGCAATAAACGTCAAGGTAAAATAAATAATTTAAGTAAAACCAAAAATGATCTGACAATCAAATGAAGCCCAAAGCTTTTCTAAAATTTCTACAATTAATTGTGAAGCAAATCAATTCAGCAAAATTCACTCAGTCAAAATAATGAAAAATACACCATAAGAAATAGAAATGGAAATAGACCATTCAGCCCCTTGAACCTGCTCCATCATTCAATAGATCATAGTTGATCCACAACATTGCTTATACCTATTTTCCTGCCACAGCCTTGATACCCCTATTGATCAAGAATTTATATATCTTAGCCTTAAATATGCATATATATACCCAACATACTGCCATAACTCTATCTTAAAAAACACTCATCACCATCAACTAATCTTCCCCTCTCTATCAATGGATAACGAGATCAAATTTAGGCATTATCCAAGCTGAGAAGGTTAATTCAGCATTAACAAGGGATTGAATTTGGACCTTCCTTGTCTGTATTGTTCAGAATCAATGTGATAAGATTTAAATTGTAGCATAAATGTTTCAGGAACTTTCACTTTATTCAAACCAACAGGATTTTCCCAAGTTTTATTCAGGAAATCAGAAGTCTAGAGTTAAAGATTAACCATCTTGCAGGAATATAAACATAAAATAAAACAGCATTGTGCAGTTGCTTAGTGGAAATTCTGTGGCAGAATGGATCTTTCTAAGATGCAACTGCAAATTTCTTCTTATTAAAAAACAAACCACAGGAGTAATTATTCAAACAAGAGATACAGTGGGCTTGCCTGACAGTGAAGTATTCAGGATGACTGGAGCTGAAGTTTAAGAACTTTTTTTTAAAACTTTAGAAACTTCAAATATTCTCCCTTTGGACTTCTAGCTGGCTTACTAATAAAATAAGAATTTCCAGAGTACTTTATTACTGTGAAGCAGTTTGGAATATCATGCTCTATAATGCATATTTGTACTTATTTTCCTGGGTTAAGAATGGCTCATTAATTTGTACGGCAGTTCTCCACATGGCAGGATCTTTATTTATTACACAGTACAGGTTAATAGCTATACATAATTGACTGGGCAATAGTCAGGTGGATGATGAATGCATATGAAGAAGGGTTTATGAAATCATATGCGTTTAGTCAGCACCACAAAAATACTTCTAAGTTCTTACTTCTGAGAATGTATTAAAGAATTACAGAAATTAAAGAATTTCAGAAAGTATAGCAGTCTTTGGCTTCCTTGGACTAAACAGCACATGAAATCAACAAACCGCACATTGCAGTCAAATCTTTAAAGATATTGAATAACCTTAAGTCTGCAACTCGCAAAAGGCAAAACCTTATATATATATTAACTGGGCAACAATTTCAACTGAAGCATTCTTAGCATCTTGCAATACCTGGACGAAGTTAAATTAGCAAATATTTTCCAGTTACACTTGGTTACTTATTTTGGCATTCTTATAAAAGCAATCTGTAATGGGTTACATAGGCATGAAAGAGGATATAGAGATTGATAATATTCTAAACTATATTAATAGTAACAAATATCACAGACAAAATGGTTCATAGTTTTCACAGACTGATTATATAAGCACCATTACAGTAAAGAGGCAGACATTGCAATCCTCCAATTCCCAAGATAAGCCTCAATTTATCTATAACCTTTTGTCCTGCAGGTCCACACTTTCTCCCAAATCAAATAGAAGATCTCATGCATTGTATGCTTTTTTTTAATAAAAGAAGGGTTTTTTTTTCTTTTAACTATAATCAAGGAGTTCAGTGATGGAATACCTGAACTAAATCAGTAAACTAGCAAAAACAAATGAGAACAATCAACTCCAGTTCTGCCCTGAAAAGTTTATCTATGAACCAGAACTCTTTTTTGCTGCTCCTTTATATAATCTTAGAGCTTTCAGAAAAGGAGGTACATTGTCACTATATACAGAAAATGATTGCCCCAATTGAATATAAAACCCAACAAAACAAAATGTTAATCAGGATTTATGAGTTTGAACAATATATTGATCTATACAAAAATTCTTTCTGATGTAAAAAAATCCTACCAAGCTTTGAACATTGTAATTAAAAAAATAAGAAGGGATAGGCCATTTAGGACTGAGATAGGGACAAATTTCTTCACTGACTGAATATTTAGAATTCACTGCTCCAGAGGGCTGTAGAGGTTCTGTTGACTACATTCCAAGGGAAGATCGATAGAGTGCTACATTTAAAAAGATCAAGGGATTTGGTGATAGTGCACAAAAACTACATTGATATGGAAGATCAGTGAAGGTCTCACTGAATGGTGGAGTGGACAAGGTATGGAATGGCCTACTCCTCCTACTTCTTGCATTCTTTAACTTTCCAAATATTGACTGGAAACGCTATAGTTCGAGTACTTCAGATGGGTCAGATTTTGTCCAATGTGTGCAGGAGGGTTTCCTGACACAGTATGTAGATAGGCCAACAAGAGGTGAGGCCACATTGGATTTGGTACTGGGTGATGAACCAGGCCAGGTGTTAGATTTGGAGGTAGGTGAGCACTTTGGTGATAGTGACCACAATTCGGTTACATTTACTTTAGCGATGGAAAGGGATCGGTATATACCGCAGGGCAAGAGTTATAGTTGGGGGAAAGGCAATTATGAGGCGCTGAGGCAAGATTTAGGATGCATAGGATGGAGAAGGAAACTGCAGGGGCTGGGCACAATTGAAATGTGGAGCTTGTTCAACAAACAGCTACTGTGTGTCCTTGAGAAGTATGTACCTGTCAGGCAGGGAGGAAGTGGTCGAGCGAGGGAACCGTGGTTTACTAAAGAAGTTGAATCTCTCGTCAAGAGGAAGAAGGAGGCTTATGTAGAGATGAGGCGTGAAGGCTCAGTTAGGGCGCTTGAGAGTTACAAGTTAGCCAGGAAGGAACTAAAGAGAGAGCTAAGAAGAGCCAGGAGGGGACATGAGAAGTCTTTAGCAGGCAGGATCAAGGAAAACCCTAAAGCTTTCCATAGGTATGTCAGGAATAAAAGAATGACTAGAGTAAGATTGGGGCTGGTCAAGCACAGTAGTGGGAAGTTGTGCGTGGAGTCCGAAGAGATAGGAGAGGTGCTAAATGAATATTTTTCGTCAGTATTCACACAGGAAAAAGACAATGTAGTCGAGGAGAATACTGAGATACAGTCTATTAGACTAGACGGGATTGAGGTTCATAAGGAGGAGGTGTTAGCAATTCTGAAAGGTGTGAAAATAGATAAGTCCCCTGGGCCGGATGGGATTTATCCTAGGATTCTCTGGGAAGCTAGAGAGGAGATTGCAGAGCCTTTGGCTTTGATCTTTATGTCGTCATTGTCTTCAGGAATAGTGCCAGAAGACTGGAGACTAGCAAATGTTGTCCCCTTGTTCAAGAAGGGGAGTAGAGACAACCCTGGTAATTATAGACCAGTGAGCCTTACTTCGGTTGTGGGTAAAGTGTTGGAAAGGATTATAAGAGATAGGATTTATAATCATCTAGAAAGGAATAATTTGATTAG